CTAACACATGAATAAGGCAATTTGTTACGTATCATGACCGCGATAGATCTCCATAAATTTGATTGCCGATACAAGACTCGCCGACACAATAATTGTTTATATGGTTGCATAATAAGTCATAGCTCATTTTGTTATGATCGTTTTTAAACTTAACGTAAAAGAACATTAAAATTACATCCCCCCATTAGAACACGATTTAGGTGATTTATATTCAATAAATATAATGCATGCGCCGATAATGAAAATTTATTGATAACGAAGACTGATTGGAAAATCGAGAAGTGAAAATTTTAAATTAAACTTACAGCATTAATTTTTTTAAATAAAACAAGAGTATGCTTTGCATTAGCTTTTAGCTTTATATGCTTTGATCAGCTGTATTCAATTCCATAGAAAGAGAAAGTGAGAGAAAAAGAAAATTTTTCTAAAAATATAATTTTCAATAATTTATAATTCCCAAAGAATATCGTGAATGACGCTTCATAGCACGTGTACTCTTTGGAAACGACAATCCTATTTCGAAAGCATTTTATGTGTAATAAACCCATTTCTTCCAATTCAAAGAAAGAATCTACGAAAATGATTGTCGAATTTGTACATGGTTAATATGAATGAAATGTCATCGCGGCTGACCAAACAAAAAAGAAAATCGACACCGAGGTCTTCACAAGATTTACGAGTAGGATTTTTGGTAGGGTCGACACTGAAAGAGAACTATACGGTCGTAAAAGTTTCAAGATGATCGGTACGAAAATAGGAGAGAGCTCTTGCCATCTCGTTCCATGTAACCGCAAACCGTTTTCTTCCGATTAACTTTCCGAAAATTATGATCCGTTCTATATGTGTGTAGAACATGTAGTTAAAAATTGGTATTTAAATTTCTCTTTTCTCTATTGTTTCTTCTAAATTTCACTTTAATAGTCAGAAGCAAAAAGTACAAGAATAACGTAAAAGATTTACATATTTAAAATGATTGCGTAGAACAGCTTTAAAAGAATATTTTAATACAATTTCTTATGTGCTCAATTATATCAAATATCATTTAATGGAAAAATTTTGTAATCAGCCAATTATTAATCCATACATCTATCGAAACAAAAAAATAATTAAAAAAGTAATAAATTCGACCAGTTTATCACGGTTCCTATCTTCATGCGCGTTGAATTAATATTTCTTTTTTACCACGAAATTATGTGCAACAGAAATTAATCTTTACAATTGATCAAACGTTTCTAGAATTAAACGCTGACAAAGCTTATCTTATTTTATTGAAGAAATATAAAATAAATATGACATAAGATTTTAAATTTGAAATTCTCATTTCCCAATTCTAATCCTTGCATGCACAACGTTATGAGAAAAATATTTCATGGTATTTTTTATATATAATAATTCTAATTATATATAATAATTTATATATAATAATTAATATATAATTTTTTAATATAATTAATATAATTTCTTATATACAAAAATATAATATAAATTATGTATATCTGGACGGCGTGTGTTAATCCTTATGTTTGAACGCAGGTAGATATTATATTTCAGAAACCACTAGTGTGTAAGTTTTTAACATTCTAATATATTTATTTTTCAAAAATAATATTAAAATTGCACTGTATCAAAAATTGTGAGCAATTATAATTATCTCATCATCTTATATCTAATTTTCAGATATTAATAATGGAAGTTGCTGCGTCTATGATGTCTGTCATGAAGCAACGATCACGATTTCACGGGTCACATCCGCGTAAAAATAATGATGCGTTATTAAAAGCTCGTACTTAATGTCTTAAAATGCAAGCTCATAAAGTCAAATTTTACAATCCCATATATTCGCCGTAATCACCCCTAAAGTTGAGACATAACTCACCCCTTTATGACATCATGACGAATACTGATTTTTCCGTATTATCGAGTACCACGCCACTTTTCCATTATCGTCGATTGTGTACGAGAAAACCCTACTTTTTGGTAGGTAACCCGATTAGGTCGCGTTACACATATGCTATAAATCAATTAACAGGTTGTCGAACTCAATGGTGAATTTCAAAGGGTTCATAGAGGGATAAATGAGACACGGAGAATAACCGACGATTATCCTTTAAATTCTTATCCTTATCTTTCATATTAATTTTGAAAATGCGAAATAATATACCGCGTGTTCACAATAATTACGTGTTAGGAAAGAGGTTGAATATAAATATACTATCCCTTTCTTTTCCCTCATAAAAGTTCTCATAAAAAGAACTTTATCATCCTACTCTGGCATTATATCTTATAGAGGGAGGGAAGTTGTTACACGCACAGGTATGTGTACAGTTCTCTCTAGAAGAGGATAGAGGGGAGAGAGGAGAGTTCGCACTACTGTCAATTCAAGTTTAGTGGTTAGTCCTGCATGCAGACTTTCGTTTCTTTCAGCCCATTTACGGGAACAAACTATTTCATCCGTAAGCGAGCAAAATAACGATAACTTTTAAAAACGAGCAGGATCGTAAAAGCAAGAGCGAGCTCCTAGGTTTCGGCTTTGGTTATAAGTTCGTATTATATTAGCCGGGTTTGCATTGCCTACCGACCAATGGGGACGCTCGTAAAACCAGGGTTAACATTCGGTCGGGTTGTCAAGTGAAAGAGTGGCTTGAATTTCGTTGGGATCACTGTGAAAGACGTTATAAGTACGCTCCTCGCTTATGCACCGTGTCTCGTGGTATTATGACTAAGTTTTTAGAAGTAGCGATGACAAACGCGATGCGATAGATGCATTTTTTTCGATTATATTATTATTCAAACACGAGACATATACAACAAAACAACGCTTCCCCTTCCCTTCATGATTGCTTTTTAAAAAATGTTTTTATTTTGCGAGTTTTATAAATCAATTTTTGAAATATATATACATGTCATTTTATTAATTTTTTTACAATATTTAATACTGTAAAAATGAAGCAATTATATTTTCACAATTTGTAAAAAAAATTAAAAATATTAGATTAATTATATTAATCAATTTAACTAAAGAATAGTTTCCACTTGTTTCTCCACGAAAGATGATCCCTCTCTCTTTCTTCTTTAATGACATTTTGCATAATGATCGTATAATGATATAAAGATTTAAAATATAAATGCATAAGGATAAGCAATAATTTCTTTTACCGAAGTTTACTGAATGCCCGTCTTTATTCCTAAACTGTGCAATGGAGGAGGTCCCATTATCTATCTCGCTCTCTCTGTTATATTTTGTTCTATAATTACTTTTATTGCAATTTCAAATGATGATGATGCAGACAATCTTCATAAAAGTTCGTGAACTTTGACATTTCATCGGAACCTTTGCAGAGATTGTAAGAATCATGCATTTACGTTCTTGATTGTACTCTATGTGCAATAAATTTAACACATAATAAAATAAGATGAATAAGTGAATTAGAAAATTAATTAATTATATATATATATATATATATATATATATATAATTAATATATATGTGTGTGTGTGTGTGTTTCTATAAGTGTTATATTAATTAATCAATATTTTCAATTTTAAATTATATTGAAAGTAAATTAGACTTATATTTTATAATTGGTAATGCAGCGACAAATGGATAAATGATGAATATTTTTACCATGTGCTAGAATTATAATAAATTATCACAATATAAAGATTTTGTTTTTGCATATATATTTGACATTCAAAAATATATACTATAAACTATAGATTTCCAAAATTATAACAGCAATATTAAATACCGATTTAGGTCGTGGTAATTGTGAAATTATCTATCAACGACCTACTACTATCTTTACGCGCGTAAAAAAAAATTCCCGAGTTGTTTTAACGATAGGAGAACAACACATTAATGATTTTTCTTGCATTAATAGCGCTATTAAATTCTAATCTGGCTTTCGCCGAGACCTACAATGACTGCCGGTATTACATTCTAGCCGGTATTACATTCTAGCACTGTGTTAGCACCGGTGCTTTCATACCGTTACAAAATCTCCGAGCAACCGGAATACACAAAGATCGGTCGACGACCCAGATCGCTAGATAGAAATTCGCTCACGATGTTACATCTGTTCTTTTTCTTTTGACCATATTAACACATTGCGGACCAGCGTCAAAACAAACAACATGAGAATTCTCGTATTCCGTCCGCAATATTGTTAATTGAAAACATATCAAAAATATTTGAGTGCTCATAATTCATACTTCTCTAGGCAGTTTAATCGTCTTCCTCTTTTTCTTCTAATCTTTTTCTCTTTTTATATTTTTAAATCACTTTTATATTTCCTACATAAATAATTCATAGTTTTTTAAAGAAAAATGCGACATTCGAATGATAATATTTTTCGACATGTTCAGAAATTGCGATCCTGAAGACGATATTAAACAAATTTTCAAAACAATATTGCTAACTTTAGTTTTCGTTATAAAAAAATAAATTTTATAAACGTGTGAAAGATGGAAAAAACTAGAGAAGGATAATGATTAGAAGAGCGTGCAACAGGTAGGTAATCTCAGTTTTCATCACGCATATATATACATATATATATATATATATTTGTATCAACGAACAGATGCATACTGAACAGATGATCAACATGTACATATTAAATAGATATATTTTTATATTGTGTATATTGAAGTAATAAAAATATTATTTTTCGCAAGCAAATAAAAGAATATATAACACAAAACTAAAACGAAAGCTTATAATAATGCTCGTGTTAGTTGAATAATAAATTAATAGATTACAAGAAACTGAGAATTTCGCGAGATCGTTTTACAATTTGTATTAAGCTTATGATAAAATAAATAACATCTTTGCAAATGTTTCATATTTCTTTGAAAATGAAATAGTATTATTAGATCTTATATATATACTTAATATATATAATAAATCTTATATATATACATATATGTATGTATGTATGTATATGTGTGTGTAATTGTCTCATTCAAGCAATGCTGAAGGTATAGATATCAATATTACTCACCTTCTCACTCGAATCCTCTTCGTCTATCTTTTCTTTTCGCTTCCTTTCTCTTTGTCCTGTAAATATAATTTCCTCTCTTTTCTTAACAAACTTAATTGTCTTCAACATATCTTCGTCGATATCTTTAGGTAACTTTTCTTTGTCTTCTTCAGGTATAATAAAAGGAATTATGTCTTGTTTAGGTTCGGCTTTGATCTATTAGAAAAGTCAATTATAATATATTAAAATATTGAAAAAAATATTAAAATATTAAAATAGTGAAAAAAAGATATTGAAAGATGTGACAGTTGCAAAATACCACAATACGTCTGTAACAAAATTAGAAATTTGTTTGTTCTTAACTAAATTCGAAGAATAATCGCTTAGTTTTGATATAAAAAATAACAAGTTAAACATATAACTCTATGTACCATTTTATAAATTTTAGTAAAACTGTAGTTTTATAATAAATATATTTATGCAAATTCCATATTTTAAGCCAAATTTCTCCAATAAATCAATAAATGTTTAATCAAAATTTCGACTATGTAATAATTTGCAATATGTTTATAAATCTCTTATTTAAAAATATAATTTAAAATAATATATTTAAATATATCTGCACCTTAATAAGAGATTATTTGATAATTACTTTAGAACTGTGAGAAAATAATTGATAGTGCCATCGAATTTAAAATGTGCAAAAATTATAATTTTATATGTATTGCGTATATCGTATTAATTATCGTCACGATAATAATCATTTTGACATGAAAACTAAAGATTCGTATATGTACGAATGAAAATAAATAAATAAAAATAAATTTATAAAGTATAATAATGTTAAATTTATATCCGTGTATCTATTCTACTTTCATTAAATGTAAGTTATTTCATTAAAAGTAATGTTTTAAAATATCTTTTTTAAAATCAATAAAAGAATTATTAAAAGTCTAATTTCAAAAAATACACAAAATACTACTTTTGAAGAAATAAATTTAAATCATCGATAAAAAGCGCAAAAAATTTTTTTCCTTTAAATTCCCGTATTCCTATGTACAAGATTCTTATTTCTTCTGATAAATATTAATCAATATTTTGCAACTATCATATACAAGATTGCCATAATCAAATTTTATTAAAGAAAAATCTAACCAGTTCAGATCCAATTAATTTAATTCTTGCTTGTCTCTCTTGTTCTTTCTTTTTTTGTCTGTCCTTTTTTGTGTCTTCTTTCGATTTATTCCGTGATTGCTTTTTATCTTCGCATTTGCTACATATGCAATAAAGGCCTAGACAACGTCCTTTGTGGGCACTAGACAATATTTTCAGATTATGAATTTTGCATAAACTACAAGTTGGTTGGGTTTCCCTTTTCTTCTTCGTCGTAGGTGGACTGTCCATCACTGACGATTGCTCAGAATCACTCAATATGGCGCTCATATAGTTCTACTATTAATAGCTGAAAAGCGCAAATCTTTTATTTCTTTCGAAGACAGAAAGAAATTATCAAATCTCTTGCCGATGTCGAATTTAGCAATTCAGATAATTGCCTAGATGAAATAACGGCAATTATTATCCTCTGTGTAGAGTTATTATTATCCTCTTATAGTTTATACAATGCTTTTCATATTGTTATCCAAATGTCGGTATATCTCTGTTTTCTGAAACATGCAATAGAATTTTTGATCATGATAAAAAGAAAACTAAAATTTAAAGAATTCAATTTATAATAATAAGATGTAATAAGATGTCTTAAAAAAAAGTTAATCTTCTTAAATCAATAATGTTTTCTAACTGAAGCAATTAATTTATGATCCTGAGCTTATTTCAATGAATGAATTTTATCTTACTTCTCTTGCTATTTGACATTTTGTTATTTTATATTAAAGAGTAAATTAAATTCGTTAATTTATTAAAATATAATATTAAATTTGCAACATTTAAGATAATTCTTATAGAGTAGAGATTCTTATTGAGGCTATATATTCTTAAGCCATAACTAATTTGTCCCGTATTTGCTCCGATAACACTGGTCGATATCATTTTGACTTTAAAATAAACGAAGTGTCTGATAGATTGTTTCTGATAGATTTTGGTACGTTGATTACGAATCTGACCTCAAAAATATCGCATTACGTTAGATTTTTGAGATATTTTAACATAAAAATGTAAAAAATAAATATTTGATCATTTCAAATGGTTTTTCAACGACATGAAATCTCTAATAATTTTTTTAGCATCCAGACAAATATCACATTAAAATGCTACTTTTATCCTTTTCATATTCGATTACTATGATTCAACTTTTTTTGACTGAGATAGAACAAAATTAAATGTTTTTGTTTTTTCAGCGCCAAGATGACATCCGCTTGCATGTTGAAAAAAAATTGTTAAAGATTTTATAAGTTGTTGAAAATGATCAAATATCTCATTTCTGCACCTTTAAGTTAGAAATCTTAAAAATTTTATGTGATATGAGATTTTTGGGGCTAGATTTGTAATTAGCGTATCAAAATCTATCAGAAAACATTTCGTTTATCTTAAAAGTGTAAAGACAACAAAAGTTATATTTTTATCGATCAGTGTAATCAATACACAATATATATCACCAAACCGTGTATCTTGCTCATGTAGATTATTCATGATGGATCAATACAATTTAATATTTACAATCTGTTCTTTCACAATAATCGATTAAAGAATCGTGAAATAAAATAATTGCGATCGGTCTATGTCATCGCTCGAAGAATAAATACATTCTATCTCGATTAGTAGTAACATGGCGATTTTTTTTGCTTTTGAGGACATGACGAAAAACAAATTTTCAATCTATTAAAATAATTAATAGCGTGATAACTTGTTTCAATCTATCTATCACTGATATGACACAAAATACATTACATGTAAATTAATAGCATTCGTTATTTGTTTTATTAAATAATATTAGATAACTATTAGACATCTATATATAATTTAAATAATATATATTTTGAGAATAAATTAAAAATTGATTTTGTCGAATATAATATTGCCATTGTATATATTGTAATAAATTTTACAACTGATGCTATTAAGATCAAGTGGCATAGTATTTTTGTAAAATATTTTGTTTTCTTTGTATAAATTAAAATAGAGAAATTTAAAAGTGACTTTTTATAAATCAAACATAACTTTTCCGTATTATGTTTTGATGTTGTATGCTTAGATGTAAGTTGATGACAATTTTACTATTCCACTTTGATGTACGTTTCTATTATTTATATCATAATCAAAAGTTTATAAGTAATAACGATTTTACACTACAAATAACCAACTATGTAATAAATAATCGAAATGCTTTGAAAATAATTATGTGAAGCAATCATTTCTAATCAATATTGTTATTGCAAACGTTGAGAATAATTAAAATTGTCAAAGGTATTTAAAATTGTTATGCTTGATATAAAACCAATGCAATGATAAAATTTTGTAAGATCCACTATTAACAGTTATTCGTATATCCATGTCTAGATAAAGGATGCTTAAGCCTGAAATAGATAATGGGAAAACTACATCTACAAAAATTATGATAAATTCTGACATGGTTCAAGCCACTGTGAAGGACACAGGAGTCACGATCTCGCTAAGGTAAAGATAAATTTCTACTGACGCCACCGCAGATGGTCATGCCAGGTAAAAGATACGGCATGCAAGAGATACAACGCATCAAAATCCTCCTCATTAAACACTCATGACTCGTCTAAGACCAAAAGATCACAAATTATACGTGAAAACAACGCACACTGAAAATATTATTTTAATCTCACTGTTTTTAAATTAATAATTTCATCATTTGTCCTTTTTTTAAGATATAAATATCATCTAAAAAAAATAAAATTTAAAAACAGATATACATATATTTTAATACTTTAATTAACATATTATTTTATAAGGAAAAAATAATGTACAATAAAATATTAATTAACCGTTATGAATTCAATCGATAATTAAAAATTAAACAATGTAAATGCCTTTAGATATTTATATTCACAAGAATTATCAATGAAACATTCAGATACGCTAAAATAACTAAATAAGATAATTATTATATTTATTCTTCAAATTATCAGCAACTACTTCTAAATTACTTTATAATGTACATTCTTTCTTGTGTATAGAACAAGCAATTTAAAAGTATGTATAGAATAAGTATCATCAGAAACTGTGTACTATGTAAGCAATATAAAATATGAAATATAAAACTTTCGCAAAGTTTTCTTTATGAAAAAGTTTGCACAAACAATATAACTATCGGTTCTACTACATCTTATCTAAATTCTAATTGTACGATACAATATTTTTTGGTAAAATTAATGAAACGAAGATTCACGTTCTAAACAAAATTTGATATTTGACACAGAAGGAAGCTAAGGTTGCAGAAAATGAGATTCGTGTCAAGAATTAAACATTCATTAAGAAAATGATAAAAACGATTTGACAAAGATAATTTTACTTTTAATTAAAAATTGTAGATTAGGGAGAGATAATTTATTACTGTAAATTGTATGCTAATTCATTTATACACGAAACATGTGCAAAATACATCTATTTCAAATAAAATCGCAGTCAGTTATTATGATCTTATACAAACAATGGAATCTGGGACGTATTAATTATCAGAATGTACTAAAACTCTATAAATCAAAATACTAAGAATCAAAACGTACTAAAGTTTTAAGAACTAAAGAAAAATATGAGTCGTAAGGTAAACTCAAACGATTAGAAATAATTGCACAAAAATTTACTATACCATGATCTGACGTATGCAACTGCTAATTAAAATTTAAAACGTAGATAAAGACTTGGCGAATGTTACTTCCCAGTTCGTTGGTTGTGCATCCCTATCTGTGAAATAATTTATATGCAATCGCTTTAAAGTACATGGAATGTACAGCACTATTATTACAACGAATTTTTAATAATGTGTGTTATGCGTTAAAAATTAAATTCGTAAAGATATATTCTAATAGTGATTTTCTATACATTTTTTTACCACTTTTACTTGATTAAATAATACTAAATGTACTGTGTAATAATACTAAATGTGATTTACAATCATAGAAATATTTAAAAAATTGTGAAGTTAGTAATGATGTAAATTTTATATATAGCATAAATAATATTGGCAGTGATTGTTGCTTTCCTTCGAGAGATAATAATGTCGGAGGTTTAAATCCGTATGCGATACGAGTATCGCTTGCGGAGTCACGTAATCCGCAACATCTTCCGCGATGACTCGACGAACCGATTATTCGCAGATCAAGTTTGATCCATTGTAACTAGAGGAAACTATTATCTATCAGGAAACCGTGTGTACCATATAAGTTAATTTCCAACATTATCTCATTTTCTCAAATCTACTCAGGTATTAAATTACATACATTCGCGCAATCGATTACATCATTATTTCATATTATTTCATATTATTTCATATTCTTAAAAAACATCTTTATAGAAATATTTCTATCTGTTTGCCATTTAATCTGATTTTTTTTCGATCAAACTTTTGCTTTGCTAAAATTAACGAGCTAATCGATTCTAATTTGCACACATCGCAAGGAATTTTATCGACGCTATTAAAAGAAACGCATTATATTTAAATATAATATCTATAAATAATTATAATAGAGACATCGAGACAAATGAAAGATAGATATCTCAATGTGTTTACGAAGGCAGACCCGACTAAGCCAATTACGCATAGTAAATTCGTCCTGTGCACGCGAGATAGGCTCGAAATAAATTGCATATATGTATATATGCTGCGTTACGATGTTATCGCGATGAAATCGCCGCGAACGCGATTCTCGTGAATAGATCTTGGTAACGCGAAACGCGAACCGCAAACGCAGTAGAAGGAGCGAATGCATCTTCGCTGGGTTACATTGTATTTCGTTCACGCGACTTTTTAACCGACCACGACTTCCTGGCATGTCTCGGCAAATGCCATCAGTCGGGTACAGTCGTTCACGAAAGTGTCCGGCCATTCGAAGAGACAAAAATACTATATATTTTTATGCAATTTCAATTTTGATAATTTTCTGCATACACTGTATTTTTGCGTTATTTTTGTTCGCGTTATTTGTTGCTTTTATTTTTTATAATTATCTTATATTGTTATTAAATACGTTATAAATTATAAACCTGTTTTGACGCAAGGATTAATTTAAATGTACATTTTAGACAATTAGTATAATATTTCTCTGTCTCATTGAAATTATTATTGAAAGTATATTTTTTGCATTACTCACTCTTGTCCCCAGATACTTTCGCAAATGACTGTATCAGAACGAACGGCTTGGCCTAATCAGACTTGTTAGATTTCTTTTTAACCTCTTCTAGTATTACCTGTCACACTTCGTCTTTTGCATGCGTCTCGATCTGTGATAACTTTATTGTTGCTGATCTTTCGAATTCTTCCATTTTCTTGCGCTCAATAAATTCATATTATTATTATTATTATTTATGAAAAATTGTGGTTGTCTATTTCTTTTTATTAAAATTGCATCACATAAACTAGTTTATTTTTTATTCTGATTTATTATGTTGACATGCAATAAATTATAAAAACGTAAAACTACATATTATATTATAAAAAAATCTTGCAAATGAAATAAAAATATTCATAGGCAAGATAATTGCGTTTGCGTAAAATGTTGCGGATAAAATGGCAAACTAGATATAGTTATTAAAAGATGATACAAATTCATTTTTCATTGCGTTCAATAAAGTTATAAGTGACTGATCTAACCTCAGATTTCACTTCTCTATCGTCGACAAGCAGATCGGTTGAATCGACTGAATAAGAGATCACTGAAATCGATTAAGCCACGTCGCGACACGTCCAAGATACAATTGCAGGAAGTTTCCACGGAATAAAAGAACGAGGGAAACGTAAAATAGATTCGCGTGAACACGTAAGAACTTTGCCCTTGTTGCAAATGGATGATCGAAAGTTCAACGTTACTGTGAAATTGTCAGCGGTTGCAGCGCAAACTTTTCTAGATCGGAAGTTGCCTCAGAATTATATTGGTTATACGTTTCATATTCATTTGTGCGAACACATGTGTCAAAGATACATATACTCTATTACATAATTCTTACATAATCGAAGCGATAAGTGCCCCGCATAAGCAAAATGCAAAAATTATATTTTCTCGTTTCCTTTTTTTCGTGCTACGTGATATTATGGAGCACCATAGAAAAAAGATATATAATATAAAAAAACTATAATGTAACTAAAATATAACTTGTAAAATATAATTTTATAATTATAGAATATATTTTTTTTAATTATATCGCGCTAATAATTATTACGTAATTATTTTACCTTTCAGCCGAGAGGGGGCATCGTGTTATGCAAGAATACACGTTCGCTAAAGGCGCATTTACACCTTGACAGACAAGCAGAAGCCAATCAAAATTCGCGCTGGTAGTCATAATTTTTACTTTTTGCCTATCTAATGTATTGCTTGCACACTGCTTATTACCAGTGCGAATTTTGATTGGCTCTCTGCTTTTCTGCCTTTTTCTGTGAATGCGCCCTAATACTATCTTATATAATAAGTTCCTATCTAGGAATTATTCCTTGGAAGAGGGAGTAGTTGAGAATATTATAAATATTATTAATATTGCGATTATTATACACGCTTTAATCGAAATTATTCAAGAGCAACTGTCATTTTCACAAATTTATCAATAGTACCTAATCAAGGTACGTATACTTATAATTGTCACCAATGTGCTTTGTTTATTATTCGTTTCTATAGCGACAGACGCTCTTTGTGCTTTTATTGAAAGGCAAACGCGCGCAGCGCGTCTGCTACAACGAAAGCAAGCAGACAATAATAGATTCTTCGAGAAGATAGAATTACCTTGTATTTTATCTCTCTCTTTCTTCTCTCTCTCCGTCCCTCCCGATGGCTGTTTCCGTGTAATGAATGCTGCGGATAAATTGGCGGCGGTAGAAGCGAGGGGTCCACCGGTTCTTGACACACGCGAACACTGTATCTAGCGATCACCCGGGATCCGTCGACGCGACTTTCACGATACGACACACTCGAGATCGAGGAATCCGTACGTGTATCGCATACACGCGGATTCTGTCGGCGCGCGCGCGCACGATTCGCCGGTTTCCACAGGCGGCCGACCAAAGTACACTTTGACGTAACAACCGTCAGTCCGTGTTGCACGTGCGCGTTCGTGAAGAACCGCGCGAATTATCGCTTTGCGCGCACCCTCCTCGATTCTCGCGTGCGTAAATGATGCACGCACCGCACGTATCACGCAGATGATAGGGGGGCAGCGTTGCAGGAAGTCTCCGCCTCCGGAAATGCACAATCCTTCCCTCTTTGCCCACTTTTCTCGCTTTCTCTCGTCCCTCTTTTCTTCCTTTCCGCTTCCCCTTCGCTCCTCTGGGTCTTCTATACGCGCGGATGTATCTCTCGCGGTCTTATTAGTCCGTGTCTCTCGATAATGAGCGGTCTCGCGAACGTACGTCTCGAGAAAGGAAGCGAGATAAAAAAGTCGTGAAAAAGAGACACACGCGCACCTCGTCCAAGGTCGTCGTTTCTCTCCTCCGTTTGTAGCTTGTCACTCATACGCTGTTTTATCGCCGTTCCTTTTCTCTATCTTGTCGAACACTAGCTCGCCTCCGATTCTACTTCGAATCCGTCGGTCGCTACCGAGATAATCGAGATGACTGGTATGCGGTTTTACGAAGCCAAGGCGAAGAAACGGCGAAGCGAAAGCCCGAGAGACCTTGTTGTCGAGAGCCGTCAAACACGCTCGATCCACGTCTGAGGTCCGTAACTCACTGGTCGCGGCGGCACGTCGCGAAATACACGTTGGCCCGGTTGGCCGCGAACGGCGCGTGGTGGGGGAAGCGCGTCGTGGCGGGAGATACGGCGATTATTCCCCGGTGGAGCGCGGGAGACGGGGAGAGAGAGGGGAAGGTACTCTCGCGCGGCGGTGTAGGATATACCGTCAGTTGGCGCGGTGAGGGAGCAAGGGGGAGATGGTTGCACGCGGTGTTCTAGACGAAATGTTGAGATTTTACGATTGAATCCTACCTGACGGAGATCGACCTCGTCGCGTGGATTGCGTATATGTTGTCTTTATGCCATGCACGCCGAACTGTCGGACGACTTGACATTCTTTCGCATTCCTGCATGAATCAAAAGTAAAGAAAAAGATAGACGAGTAACTTGAAATACTAAGGATTCCGAGATATAGAATTTCCACGGTACTCTTGTGATGTTGTAGAAAGCAATTTAGAAGTTAATTAAACGCAAAGATATACCTGCTATGTATTAGTAGTAGCATAATGACAAGAAGCACGTATATGTAAAGCAGAGCAACTCTCTCTTTATTTTTCACATATTATTTTTTCTTTTCTCTAGAAGAGAAATATAAATGGCTTGAGAGATAGAATTAAAAAAACATAACCCTTTTATTTTCCACTCAATAATATTGGAAACTGTGACAAAAACATTCTTTTTTTCCTTTTCGTTATATATTACACGTACATTTCGTTCTTGTAATACGTATTAATGCGATGAAATGTTTTGTAAGACTCTGAAAACATCGATAAAAGAACAAAAAATTGCAATATTCCGATTCTTTTTGTTTAAAAATTTTTCGGAAAATATGACAATATTAAAATATATTTATAAATAGAAATATATTTCTATGTCACAATTTTTCATAACGATATATTTGTATCAACACACAATCTCGTATTAATTTGTCATTGAAAAAGTATCCGTGTTTTAAGATTCGAAAATTTAAATAACTACTATCTCCTCGTGTTTATGAATACGTGAGTAATATCGTATAGTTGGCATAATGATTTATTGGCATCGTTTCTGACTTTGACTTTTCAATGTCATGGACTGAACGAACGCGAAAATGGACAAAAGTATTAAAGACAAGAAATCCAAAAAATACGCACAAATTACTATAAATTCTTCCATAGGAATTCGTATCGTTTATTAACGAGTAAGTAATCAATTCTTTGTAAGAGTTAATTTAATACCACATGCAAGATTTCACAATAGATACACATTGTAACACACGACATATAGATTGATAATCTATACGATTTAAAGATAATATTTATGTCGTGTGTTACAATGATGTTCGCACATGTTTGACGTTTATTATAAATGTTATTATACATCGATTACGTGATATCGCGCTCTATAAAAGACTATAATATTTTTTATTGTTCCTTATATTTTTTAATTTTTATCCAGACTCGTAATAGCGACTCCGCGGTGCATTATTAGAAATCGTCGCATAATGCATTAAGTATGCAAACAATGCAATCTAAATAACCGAAGACGGAGCATATCGTACTAAGATAGGTGCATATCGTACTAACAATAAGATAGATGGGAAATAAAATTCTCAAATGAAAAAGTGCATGTGTATGTGACGTTCGCACAGAACAACTCACGATCGTAAAACGAAACTAGTCTCGAAGAAAGAATCAATGTGTGTATATCCCTTTTTATGTTAATATTCTTCACGCATGCACGTGCGTATCTCGCACACGCACGCTTTATAATAAGATTCTTTTTACTCGTGTAACCAAAGAAATCAATATTATCGTAATTGAATAAAAGATGAGATGTGCTAGAGAGCCATGGCATATGCATGATCACTCGTATGTTGGATTTACGGTGTACTATTGATTTTTTTAGCCGTTATGGTTATGTAGTTATTAATTGAAAATTTTATTTCGCGTCTTTCGTATCTTGTGTATAATTGCCGTTATTAAAGAATTGCGCTACAGAGTTGTCAAGGAAAATGTTAGATAACATCAAACATGCGAAAGAGCGTTATTAAAATGCAAACATATATTTTCAACCAGTTTTTCTCGCTTGATTTAACGTACTTACATTCTGGTTTATCAAAAACTTGATATTAAAAATTGATTATTTCTTTGACACGTATTTAGCAATAAATTATTATATTTTATAAGCATCATAAATTTGTAAAATAAATTATTTAACATTTTCCTTGACGACGACTCTGTAATGCGATTCTTGAAATTGTTTAATAATATTTAATAGCAGTAATCATACACAAGATACGAAAGACGCGAAGTAAAATTTTCAATAAATTTATAGCGTGGTTTAAAATAAAAAAAAATTATTTTTCTTTGTAAATACCGATTGCGAGATAGAAAATGTCCTGATTCACGGTAGAACTTTTGAGCTCGCTATAATTCTAAATCTTTATATCAGAAACAGAAAGACGGCAGATCATAAATTCAGTTTTATTCCTCACACCTTATGTAAATACACATGCATGAAATAGTCAAAAGCTCTTGAAATATAGACTCCGTATCAAATCCAATAATAAAATCAAAATTACAGTTTTTTTGTATTTTTTTTGCGGAAAAATTTATGTACTTTTTATTTTCTCAATTTTCTAATTTCACTTAATTTTATTATAGTTAATTATTTTATTACTGTACAATTAGAATAAATAAACAAATCGAAATCAAGAAAATCTTTACCTTGATCATCGGACGAAAAGATTTCGAAACAGGTATCGCGAATGAGAAAAGACGTAGAGCGCGAAGAAAGGCTGATCGTAAAATATCGACAAGATGGATCCATAATGCGAACAGTGTTTGGATACCTGTATATACGTGATATTACGTTTAATACTCCACTTACGGTTGAATTTACTGAAATTTGGTGACCGTTGTTGAAACGAACTTTATGTGCTATAAAGAGATGCTGCTGCACATTGCAGATTTTCATACGAAGCGATTTTCGGATATTGAATTATTTCAAGGAAAGATTGCAAATCTTTTGATTGATTGATTCAAAATCTCAGAATAATTCGATACGAAACAGATAAATTGAAAATCGGAATTTTAATCTGATTCTGGCGCGTGAGAAAAAAACATACATTTCTTTAACGTATAAAAATGTTTTTTTCTCTCCCTTATAAAGCCTAATATGTTTGTTAAATCTTTATATATTACTGAATTTCAAATTAAGATGACGACAAAATTATTATTATAGTTTATAGATTTCGTATCTCATGCACGAGCAATTGTTAAATATTTTGTACATATATATATTAATAGAAGGATATTGAAATCAAGTTATTTTTCTGATAGTATGTCTAATTGTCTCTTAATGTGTACAAGTAAGGGTAACAAATAATCTTTCAAGCGTAAAAATTAAATGATACTTGAATCAAGAGCTATTTTGCAATGTCAACTCAACTGATGTGTACAATATGTGTGTCATTGAATATAAATGTAGTCTTTCAAACTACTTTTAACATTCACCATTTAATCATTTTATATTCAATATATGCAAACTACCTTCTCTCTACGAATATTTATGGCTCATTTTACTGATTAATAATTTTAAAGCCTGTGATATGGTCTTTTCCATTTACTGGGATTGCATATCATCATACGCGAACTGTAGTAATCTAAGAAATTTCATAAAATCTCAATTCTATCGCTAAAAGCTTGAAAGTCTCGATAGCAACGGTTTTGTCACGAAAAGTATGCAGTGTAATTTTTAATAACAGCATATAGCACGACAGCATATGTTGCGTGACGGACGGAATATTAGGCTCGTAATAAGTTAAGTTTCATACCACAAGGAACGGGTAACGAGCAAATCGCGATAAAAGATATCGAGCGGTACACACGCTACTCGAGTGTCAAGTATGAAGGTGAAATTCGCGATACGGCTCTCGCAAATATTCTGCGCTCGATGACGATGGCACGGAGCATTCTACGTGGTAACAGCAACAGGATGGGCGGCCAAAAAGGAGAACGATACAGCGTGATTGGCCGGAGACCGAATCGCTCCGATAAGAAATACGCGTGAGGCATATCGCAAGATGCGGCCGAGCCGAATTCAATTTAAGATGTATAGTAAGATTCACAATGAGAGAGCGATGATGTGGCGAAACATGCTCATCGTGAATAGTGAGCCTTATCGTAAATCACACGTAGGGGAGATTGGCGAAAATTCGTAATTGCATCGACCGAGATGCACACGAAGGAACCGAAGGAACGTATCTGCCTTCGAATTGAGCAGCGTGAATACTGACTGGTTTCTTGCATTTTTTTTTAATACACTATACTTGTGGTGCTCGATCCTCTCGAGAACTTTCTCTCAATTCTCGATTCGTGAAATAAAGCGCGCACTGAAACTGTTGAGGAATGATTTCGTTTAGGTATATTTTTGCCTCTCATAAAAATATCTCATCGTCATCGGTTTATATTTTGGAGCGTGTATTTTATATGCCATATGCATAAATTTACATCGAATGAGAAACGTTTAGCTCTGTGCATTGCAAATCAATGAATAAATTATTTTGTTTATCGCCGTTTTTTACATTATTAAACGTAAAAATCGAATATATGTACAGATATACTTACATTATATTTACTTACATCATATATACTTACATAATAATTTTACTTATTACTTTTTGCAGATTATTGTCATATATTTTTAAAAATGTTCTATGTGCTTCCAAGATATAGTTTGTAGTAACTTGTTATAATACAATATTGAAAATTATATATTATAAAGTTTTCAAGTAGATATAAATATAGAGATTTTGTGAATATAAAGATACAAAAGTTACAGAAAAAAGCTGTGAATATTAATGAAGAGATATTAATATTGTGTATTAATATTGATATGAAAAATATCTATTACAAAATATACATCTTTTCATCTAGCGTTTATGAATTCTGCAAAGAGCAAACGTAGCAAGAAGTCACATTATATTTAAAAAAGAAGTAAAAAATATTTTC